GGGGGGCAGAAAAAATGCGACAGCCACATAAACAACCTCATATATATATATATATATATATATATATTATATAGTATATATATATAATATCAAGAATGCTAATAATACCTTAGCTAATAGCTAATAATAGGTAACCAATAACCAATAACCAATAGCTAATAATAGATATTATTAGCCTTCTGATGATATATATATTATATATATATATATATATATATATATGCGAGTTCTTCTATTTATAACAGTGGATGCTTTATTGAGTTATTCTAAATCCCGCCGGGTTTTATCGTCAACGTATAAAAGCATCAATTGGATTTTACTCATCTAAATCATTCCGGTACACGGGGCTGATAAGGTTTCACGTCAGAAGGAAACCAGAGCTGGGAGGGGGCCTGGGACACAGGCACTTGGGACAGAGTCAGTAAAAACTGAAAATAATATGAACGCACATTCACAAATAGGCTCTACTGCAATTACATTTCCACTGTTGCGTCACTGTATATCAACTTTTCTTCATAAAAACTAACGCCGAACGCTCCCGCACTCGCCGCTGCGAGTGTGCTGTGTCGCCATGATAATATCAAGAGCTAATAATAAGAGACCTGTATTATTAGCTCTTGATAATACATATATAAATATATACTTTATATAGAATTTATATTATCATGGCGACACAGCACACTCGGTTACAGCCCTATAGACCGAAGGTCCGCGATTAGACGCGATGGCCCGATAGACGGCAGGTTTATTCGATACGCAGTGGCTTACACGTCCGGAAATCGTCGCACTGCCTCGCAGGCTACGCATCCGGACATCCACTTGATGCGTATTCGAACGTGAATATGCCGCAATGCACCGATGCCACTTAACAAACCCTAACCCTAACCATAAACTATAAACCCTAACTTAACCCGCTAACTCTACCCTAACCTAACCCTTTGCAATATTCGGTCTATCGGACCTTCGGTCTATAGGGATGACCCCGCATACTCGCAGCGGCGAGTGCGGGAGCGTTCGGCGTTAGTTTTTACATAGGTTTTTATGAAGGAAAGTTGATATACAGTGACGCAACAGTGGAACTGTAATTGAGAGGTACGGCAGTAGGGCCTATTTGTGAATGTGCGTTCATATTATTTTCAGTTTTTACTGACTCTGTCCCAAGTGCCTGTGGCCTGGGACAGAGTGAACCTCATACAGCAAAACATCTGTCTTGCTGAGAGTTTCTTGCACGCCAACCTCACGTACGCACGTGCGCACACTGTCGTGATGATAGTTTAGCCACCCTGTGAGGCCCTCTGTAAGTAACGATTGCAAAAACACATTCAGCATTAAGAATGTTTCATAAGTAAACGTGAAGATGGGCGAGGTCACTGACAGAGGTCAGTGCTGATGCGTGAGATGTGGCTGATAAAACATGAGGGTTATTTCTGTTGAAAGCGCTGAGTGTTTTAATCTGTCCATTTTACAACTCCATGACATTGACATATCCCACACATTATCACATACGCACGCACGCACGCTCGCACACACGCACGAACACACACGTGCGAACACATACGCGCACGAACGCACGCATGCACGCACGCGCACACACATACATTATATCAGAAGTAAATAATAGAGAATATCTCTATATATATAGATATATATCTCTATTATTCACTCCTGTAACTGTGTACATACATTTAAACACTGCACAAGTAATCTCTACAGAAATTACATAACTCAGCGATGACTATCTCGGAAGCGAATAGGCGACCAAATTGTAAGATATTATTGTCCATGTTTTCAGGAACTGCCAGGTCGAAGCCACTCTACAGCCGTAGCGATTATGTTGCCACGCTAAAAATACGAGAAGGCCTTTTTTCCTTTGAAGTCTTTCCTCCATCACGTAGGATCAAATGTATCATACACGATGCAGGTCAAACAAGTACAGCACTCAGCATGTACCGGCCACAGCCTGCGGTATTATCAGTTAACGTTTTGTTAAAATTTGAAAAAATGAATATATGAAGTACTTGAGCAAAGAAAGGCTTATTTCCTGCCTGCTCCCCCTGAATCAATACAACAATATGCAAACCAAGCGGGTGGGTAATTACAACGTATAAAGAAGTGACGCTAAGCAGGTGGAAATATATAGGCAGCAGCATCAATCAATAATGTGCCGGCCTTCTCACAGCTTCCTCAATATTAGACCGGGAGCCCAGGGGGGTCAGCCTAGCTGGAAAGGAAACCAATTTTCATGCATATAGCAATGATTCGTGTACATACNACGGATTATTATATATATTAGTTATTATGACTGAAGAGCGATGGTTGGGTGTGATTAGTTCGTTATTATATATACTATATTATGATGAAGTATGATGGTGTGGGGGTGTTATTGTTATATAGTATATATAGTATTTGATGAAGATGATTGGTTTGGGGGTGCTAGTTGTTATATATTAAATAATTATGATGAAAGATGTGGTTGGGGGGTTGTTTGTTAATAATGGTTAGTTGTTATATATATATATATTATGATGAAGATGGTGGTTGGGGGGGTTAGTTGTTATCGTACAGAGTTATCACGGTGCCTGACACGAGTGGAGAAAGTCTAGTCGCGACCATCAACTCAGATCTGTACAGACGAGTAAAAGCCATCACACCACCGAATATGGAGATGAATGAAGCCATCAACATGATAAGGTAATCCTCATCGTCGTCATCATCGCCGTCGTCATCGTCAACGTCGTCATCGTCAACGTCATCATCGTCAACGTCGTCATCGTCAACGTCGTCATCTTTGTCGTTAGTGCAATCGTGGTTGTCGTCGCAATCGTCATCGTTGCCGTCATCGCCATCATCATCATCCTCGTCGTCGTTATGATGATAAGCAGCAGCATCAGAGGCAACAGTAGTAGCATGTTCATCACCACCATCATCATTATCATCATCGTCATCATCATCATCATCATCGTCGTCGTCGTCGTCGTCGTCGCCGTCGCCGCACTAAATCTGAACGGTATAGCCACAGGCACTTGAAATAAACTAAAAACTGAAAATAATATGAATTGTCATTATTAGCTTCTGATATATATATATCTATATATATATTCGCATGGCGACACAGCACACTCGCAGCGGCGAGTGCCGCGGAGCGTTCGGCGTTAGTTTTTACATAGGTTTTTATGAAGGAAAGTTGATATACAGTGACGCAACAGTGGAACAGTAACAGAGAGGTACGGTAGTAGGGCCTATTTGTGAATGTGCGTTCATATTATTTCCAGTTTTTACTGACTATGTCCCAAGTGCCTGTGGGTATATCTTGTTATATCGAATCGATCGAAAATTCATCGACGCTAACTAAAAATAGAGCAAATAAGGAAAAGAGTTCGCACACGCCACATGCATCGATATCTCTCTCTCTCTCTCTCTCTCTCTCTCTCTCTCTCTCTCTTTTTTCCTCTCTTTTCTCTCTCTCTCTCTCTCTCTCTCTCTCTCCCCCCCTTCTATATCTCTGTTTCGCTTTCACCACTCTCCCCTTCTACATCTCTCCTCCTCTCTTCCCTTCTACATCTCTCCTCCTCTCTCCCCTTCTACATCTCTCTTCCTCTCTCCCCTCTCTCCGTTTTCATATCTCTCCCGCTCTCCTTTCCCTATGCCCCCCCCCATGTCTCTCGTTAGGCACGGCAATCATGCAATCATCATACGCGACTTTGCACAGTGGCAGGTGTTCGGCGGCGGATCCGATGTGCATACGATGTTGACTCATCGCTGCTCTTACATACACGCCCGCACGCGCCGTACACCCACACACACTCTCACACTCACACACACTCACACACATACATGCATACATGCATACCTCTATCACACACTCACACACACTCACACTCCCACACTCACACACTCACACACACACACATACATATACATGCATGCATACATACATGCATGCACGCACGCACGTACGTGTGCGTGTGGCTCTATCATACACTCACACACTCACACACACACACACACACACACACATACATATACATGCATGCATACATACATGCATACACGCACGCACGTACGTGTGCGTGTGGCTCTATCATACACTCACACACTCACACACTCACACACTCTCACATATATATACATACATGCATACATGCATACCTCTATCACACACCCACACACACTCACACACATATACACATACATGCACGCACGCACGCACGCACGCACATACGCACGCACGCACGCACGCACGCGTGTGGCTCTATCAAACACAAACACCGCCGACGTGTGATGCTAAGAATAACATGGACACTGATCGATACACGCGGCTTATATTAGGTGGACACGAGTAACAAAAAATGGTGGGAAAAGGTCCAAATGTTGGTAGCCCCGAAAAAAGGGGATACTTCCCCAATGGGGGTGAGGTGGGAAGGTAGAGGGTAATAATCAATTAATAATAAAAGCTAGTGTATTTTGTTAAACATAATTATGACGGTGTCTGCGCTGGTGCCTGTGTGCGCTATTTCATCTCGAATCACTGGCCGTGCCCGACATAAGATCAAGAGTAGATAATAGGGAGGGTTTCTATAGGGGTAGATAATAGGGAGGGTCCCTATTATCTACTCCTGATAAGGTGTAGACCAACGGCCTATCGTAGATCGACGAGTTATGTCTGGTCAGTAGGGGCGCAGGACGGAAGCGTGAGGCAGTTATCTGCAACACAAACAACAACAAACAGTGATGGCACTTAATGATATCACTTCGATGCTTCATGACTGACAGAATAATAGAACGAGTCTCCACCATTGATGCCGTCATTCAATAATAAGCCCCAGGTGCTGCAATGTTCCGAAAAGGTTAACTCACTCACAATATATATATATATAGTTTACAGAATGAATTGATATATCGCACATTTATGTACTGCAGCAGATGCTACGCGCGGGATAAAAGGAAGCAGTTTTCACACAATTTCTATCGTACGCCACATTCATATACTGCTGCTGCTGCTGCTGTTGCTGCTGTTGTTGTTGTTGCTGCTGCTGCTGCTTCTGCTGCTTCTGCTGCAGGGCATAAATGTGTGTAGGACATATAAAAGAAACGAATTCTCACGCAATAACTTTCGTGTAACAGGTTGTGCGCGCACAACCTCAATGTAATTGGGAATCTCTAACCATGCAGTATATATATTGATGATTCTCTTGATATATATATATATATATAGCAGAGGCACTGACTAAATAAACCTGAACAAACGCTATCGTCAAACTATGAATAGAGTCGAGTTGGCAGGTGTGTGTGTGTGTGTGTGTGTGTGTGTGTGTGTGTGTGTGTGTGTGTGTGTGTGTGTGTGAGAAAAAGGGAGCGAGAGAAGGCGAGTGCGCGCGTATGTGTGTGTGTCTCTCTTTAGCTTCCTATACTAATACTAAGCTAACACTCTGTAGTCACTGCTACGCTACGTACGGGGGATAACACACATGCAGAGAGGGAAACACAGAATGTGTCGCGAGAGAGTAGGTGAGAACAAACTCTCAGAGATGAGAGGCAACTCATCTTTCAACGAGTCTCTAAAGTCTTCAGTCTTCAAAAGTTGGCACTGAGCCAAAATCTCGCGTTCCTGCAGCAGTGCGTCGCGTCGATAGCTTCAGCCGACGCACCGGAAACTCTGCGGACAGTTGCGACAGAAACGTAAACCGATAGAAGCATTAAACTCTGCAAATAGAGCTCGTATCGAAGAAGAAACTCTATGAAACGCGTTTATTACTTTCAGCACATACACACGACAGTGCACACAAGTTTTGAGAGTTGATCGATAGAAGTTTGTAATAATAAGTTTCGAGCTCGAGTCGTCTGCAGCGTGTGTGAAACCCTAATGAAAACAGAAACGCAGTAAAAGCCTAGCAGATCTCTAGCAGATATCTAGCAGATCTCTAGCAGATCTCTAGCAGATCTCTAGCGGAATCTCTAGCAGATCTCTAGCAGATCTCTAGCAGATCTCTAGCGGAATCTCTAGCAGATCTCTAGCAGATCTCTAGCAGATCTCTAGCGAAATCTCTAGCAGATCTCTAGCAGATCTCTAGCGGAATCGCTAGCAGATCTCTAGCACATCTTAAAGCGGAATCGTCTAGGCGGACATCTCTTAGTCTGTCTGGAGAAATACTTCGTAATTCCGCCGAGCCCCCACACACACACGCCACACACACAGCACAACACGCACTGCGCACGCACGCACACACACACACACACGCACGCACGCACACACACACACACACACACACACACTGACACAGCACACGCACGCACGACTCACGCAGTGCGCGCGCCGTAACGCACGCACGCACGCACACATGGCGCATCACACACGCGCCACATCACAACACACACCACGCACGCACACACACACACACACCACAGCACACACACCACACACGACAGTATAGTACTCACGGCACGCAGCACGCATCGGCACACAAGAACACACGAGAACACGCACACACACACGCAGCGCCACAATAGCACACACACATCACAACCGCACACACACACACACGCACGCCACATCATACACACACACACAGCGCATACACACACACACACACACACCTACACACACACACACGCACACACACACGACACACCACCTACACACCCACATCTTTGTGTAATTAACGGATAATTAATTATTAACGTCACCGCGTGACGTCACCGCGTAATGTCGCACCATAACGTCACACATAGTAACGTCATTGCGTGACAGCGTAATGTAGCGTCATTTACTGTGACGTCATTCATTGTTACGTCATTCATTGTTACGTCATTCACTGTAACATCATCCGGCGTGACGTCATTAACTGTGACGTCATCCGGCGTGTCACGTGTCGTCGGCAGGAGGGGCGCTGCGGACGTGCTGATCTTCGACACGCCTGTCGTCGACTACTCGCGCGCTAACGACGACAACTGCTCGCTGACGACGGCCGGCAAGCCGTTCGGACAGGACGCCTACGGCATCGCCCTGCCTAAGACATCGTGGCTGAAGGTGAGAGAGGCGGAAGAGAGAGGCGGGTGGGAGGCGGGAGGGAGGCGGGAGAGAGAGGCGGGAGGGGCGGGAGAGAGAGAGGCGGGAGAGAGGCGGGAGAGAGGCGGGAGGGAGGCGGGAGAGAGAGAGACGAGAGGGAGTGGCGGGAGAGAGGCGGAAGAGAGAGAGACGAGAGGGAGTGGCGGGAGAGAGGCGGGAGAGAGGCGGGAGGGAGATGGTGATTGTGCCAGTGCGTGCATGCGTGCGTGCGGGCGCGTGCGTTCGTGCGTGTGTGCGTGCGGGCGGGCGGGCGCGTGCGTTCGTGCGTGCATGCGTGCGTGCGTGCGGGCGCGTGCGTTCGTGCGTGTGTGCGTGTGTGATACAACTTCTGACTCTAACACCCCCAGGAACCGATCTCCAGGCTGATACTGAAGTACATGGATAGCGGTGTCATAGAGGATGTGACGCGCAAGTGGTACGGCCAGCTTCATTGCTTCGCTCGCTCCAGTGACGGCCCTCCACAGCAGCTACAGGTATAGATACGGTCTCTCTCTCTCTCTCTCTCTCTCTCCACCGCCACGCCACGCACCGCACGCACCACGCAGACGCACGCCACCGCAGTGGCGCGCTGAACACACACACACACTACACCACAACACACACACACACACACACACGACACACCACACACACACACACACACACACACACAAGAAAACCGTTTGCTATACGTCTGCAGTTCGACACCGCGTACGTGGTCTGCATCTCCGGTTCATCCGCATACGCCAAGCCGTACTGGAGTACATACAGGACGCCTGATCCCCATCACTGAAAGACTTCATCTAGCCTCTCCCACGAGAAACCTGCCAGTCATAAAATCGAATATTTTGTTAAGTATCCGTTCGAGTTCAATGGGTAAAAGATCTTAAAAGGTCCCTAGCAGGTGGTATCATGGTGAGTGGGGACCATCTAATTATGAACAAGCCTGTGTCAGGAGAAGGCGTGTGATCGCGCTGCACACTTCATATCCTCGCGCCGAGGTTACGTTACCGAGGGCTAGGCTATTCATATATATATATAATATAACATAGCTGTTTCGGCGGTATAGCTTTTTAAATACATCAATCCCGCAATCATTACAATTCTTTCTCGACTTCTCCAAAGAGCGGGGGGAGTCGCCACCACCGCTACGTGTGCGTCCGACAAGCGCTGAGCAGCGAGGTGATGTCGTCTGTCACCAGTCCTTTATCGGATCTCGTGTCTTCAGCGATCGATCCCCGGCCACCAGCAATTACCACCGTCGACTACGGCTCCGCTCTCTCTCCTCTCTCTCCTCCTCTCTCTCTCCTTCTTCTCTCTCTCTCTCTCCTTATATATATTTATAATATATATAAATATTATATATATAGTATACTATATATAATTTATATATATATGTGATGGGTGTGTGTGTGGTGTGTGGTGTGTGTGGCTGTCGTGTGTGTGTGGTTGCGTGCCGGACGTTCGTGCGAGGTGTGTGTGTGTGCTCGGCTGGTCAGCGAAAGTGTCAGATAGAGACGGACGGGATATATTAACGCTGCAGACTCGATGAAAATCGGTCGAATACGCGATTAATTCGTCATTAGTGCTGGAGAGAATATCAGCGTCCCATTCATCGTTCTATAGCGTCCGCGCGCGAATCTACGCTTTCGGAATTCAATTCCCCCTTTCAGCAGTACGAATGACTCTCGCTGTCCGTCAAAACTAGGAATCCCAGCAGGGTAAGGGCTGCCATGCACTGGCGAGCAAACCTAACCAATGCGAGCCATGAAGGGGGGTATACACGTAATCGATCTCTTCCGACTTCTCCGAGTTTATTAAATCAACGCGCGTAGGCTGGCGTTGTTTAAGAATTTCAATCGAATTCATCAAAACTCGTTATCTCAAAAAGTAAGCCCCCTGAACGAATTGAACGCCGAATTGCATTATAACGAGCAGCGGCTAATCAGGAGGATCCGGAGGTCGAGGCAGTCTCCTCATGATTGCGCCAGTCCGCCTAAGGCGCCGCCGAACGCGAGGTGGCAAAAAGCCGCCGCAACTCCTCAGACGTCTCCGCAAGAAAGTCGAGTGATGTAACGCAAGGCCGGCAGTCGAAGCGTCCTGCGCAGCATCCCTAGGTCATGGGCGACCCTGCGCTGAAGCCAGCACACGCACGCAGACAGCACAGCGCACACGCACACCGCGCACCACACGGCACACGCACACGCACACGCACAACGTCTACACGGCACACGCACACGCCACACGCACACGCGCACACGACACGCCACGCCACACGCACCACGCACACGCCACACGCCAGCCACGTACACGCACACGCACCACACACACACACACACATACACACACATGCACCACACACCACAACGCACACACACACAACACACACATACACACACACATACACACACACACACCACCACACACTGACACACACACCACACACACATCATGCACGCTATGCACGCCACACCTGCACGCCACGCACGCACACACACACACGACACACCATGCACACACCACACCAACACACACACGAAGGCGCAGTCGAGCTGGCTGCCCGCAGCATCCCTAGGGGTTCCATGCGCGCTGCCTGAAGCCAGGCCACACGCCACGCAGACGATTCACCGACGCACACGCACACGCGCCACGCACACGCACACGCACACTGCACACGCACACGCACACACACAGACACGCACACGCCTACACGCGCACGCACACCGCCGCACGCACGCACAACCGGCGCACCAGCGCACGGCCGCACACGCACACGCACCACCACACGCACACGCACACGCACACGCCACACCGCACACACGTACACCACACGCGACACAACACACACACCACATACCACACATGCCACACACATCACACACACGCTGTACACACACACCCATACACCACACATACACACACACCATACACACACACACACACACACACACACGCACACACAATGCATGCACGCAGCACGCCACGCACCACGCAACACACCACACACACACACACACATCACAATCGGCAACACACACCATGCCATCGCACGCACCCACACACACACACACATGCACACACACACAACACACACACACGACACACACACTCACTTCACCACACACACACACATGACACACAGCACACCACCCACACACACACACACACACACACACATCGCACACCACACTCACACGAACACACACACCACCACCACACACACACACACCACACACACACACACACACACACACAACACACCACATCCTAATCACCCAGCTATAACTACGGATTCTGCTGTCTCTCACACATTACACCCGTGTGCCGGTCCACGGCTTCGGACAAAAACTCCGCGTCGAGTGAAATAGATTATATCGAGCGGATTACGGAGAATATTTGTCGATGTTGCCTGTGTGTTACCCACCACAGGGGTTAGGTTTAACAACGCACGACGTGGTGGCGCGTGTGTGTTGCTACGTGTGTGTGTGTGTGTGTGTGGTGTGTGTCGTGTGCTGTGCTGTGTGTGTGTGTGTGGTTGTGTTGTACGGGTGTGTTGCTGGGTGTGTGGTCGTGTGGGTGCTGTTGTGTGCGGTGGTCTCCTTGTCTGGTTGTACGTGTTTCCCTTCTGAAGCCCCGGTGCCTCGCGGCCGGGGTAGGTCGTGTTCCTTTCTCCTCTCTCTCTCTCTCTCTCGCTCTCTTCTCTCTCGCTCCTCTCTCTCTCTCTCTCTCTCGTTCTCGTCTCTCTCTTTCTCTCTGTCTCGTCTCTCTCTTTCTCTCTCCTTTCTCTCTCTCTCTCTCGTCTCCGCGGCGCGCTCTCTTTCACCTTTCGCCTCTTATATCTTCTCTCTT